CTTATAGGATTTCAAAAAGCACCAATTCTTCAGGTGAGTCTAATAAAGTGAGCAGGGGCTGTATGTCAACCCCACATTCGCCCGTAAAAGCTCTTATGTTAGGTTGTGTCCTCGTGGATCAAACCATTCTTGATCACCCGTTGTATTACTATCCACACGTTTATTCTCTAATGAACTTTCATCTTCGGACGAGCGCAATACACGACGATGACGAAGTCTAGGCAGCAAAATTTGTTCGCTTGATGTATCACTTGATGACGTATCCATTTTCAGGCCAACAAAATTTAGAATTTTTGGTCAACAAGAAGTTCGAGGAAAGTTTTAGAATGAACGAAACTGGGCTACGATTTGTGTGCAACTGAGGATTCGTTAGGCGTTCGGGCGTCATTGGGCCTCGCTTTTCGGTTTCTTATCTTCTACCAAGGAGAAGGGACTATAAGGATACGAATCCAAAACAGTATTTATTGCGATTGGAAAAAGTCAGGCCCTCGAGTGCAACTCATCTGCAAGTGAGTAAACATGCGAAGACAAACCCCGGTCCTCAAGCCGGGCTACGTTACCCAACTCTGTTTATACTCTGGCTCGCCTATCGGCGAGCGGCTCGGCAGGGCCCGCCTGACGGCTAACTGTGGCGTGAACGGAACGGCACGTGAAACCGGCGTGGCGTTTAACGTGTTCATCAGCGATTCCAGCACCATATAGCAATCCTTCTTCTTCTTCATACGCTTTGTTTTGAGCTTGCAACTCCTCTTTTCGAGCTTTCCGAGTTTCCTTGGTCTCCAAGGCGCTGCGTCGATTATGTCGGCTCACGCGCCGCTCATTCATTTCTTGTGCGTAACTGAAGCAGCGGCTACCAACTAGAATCTTCAGCTCGTTCATCATCAATAAAAGGGCTGAATTTCCTTCATTGAATAAGGAAACAGCCAAATATGCTGCGACCTCGACTACTTTCAAACCAGAATGCAGGTGTTTCGGAGCCAACCGCCAAACGGTTGAATTGAAACTTTCGTTTGCATTCTGTGTGTAGCCGCCTAAACATCTCTCCAGTAACTCATTTCTCGATAAATCTTCATATATCGGAAGAATTTCTTTCTGGACATCAGGGTGCAATGGAGTCGGATGTGCTTCAGGGTCCGTTCCAAGAGCTTCAGCTTGTTTCCACTTGCACCAGCTGCCTACTCCCTCTGGACAATTTTCGTGTTGTGGATTGTCATCTGTCGATATCATGTGATAGTTAGTTGCCATTATGGCCTTCTTCATCTCTTCGACGCTGTCACATTTCTTCTAATCGCTAAGCCGTAGTACGTGCTGAGTTTTTTCACTAAAGTCTCCGTAAATTTTCCTTTTCCGCCCAATTTTTTTTAGCTTTCCTGACGTTTCGGAGTCGAGTTCCCATCCTTTTCTGCACGTGACCTATGCATTCACTTTTGACAACTGTCAGTTCATCACTGTAAGGATTTAAATTGACAACTGCCGTGAACGTTTTTGAATCTCCGTCGCCGATATAATTACCGTATTTCACTTCATATAATTCCTCTGATTTCAAAAACATCTTTTTAACAGATTACTTTACCGCTCACAGCATCAGAACGAACTGGAATTTTTATTTGAAACTTTGGGAACATATTCCTGAATAGTTTTACTAATAATTTATAGAATAAAAAAAATTTCGATTTTTTGAGCCATCTAAACTGGTTTCCCCCCTTAAAAGGTCAGCAGCAATCCTTGCACTCGGTGCTTCACCACTTGTGATATACCGAACAATCCTTCGTTCATCCTGACTTGTTAATACTTTCGGACGTCCACCAAGTGCAGCTAACAAGTCTTTAGAATGTTTTTTTCCGGATACGTTGAACAGTTGATTGGCTTACAAAACATTTTTCAGAAATCTGAATCTTGCTAAACCATTTTGTAGAAGAGAAATGATTGTACTGGCAATAATATGAGGAAGTGGCTTCATTCTAGAATACTGCTAGTTTCGTTCTTTTCAACTTGATGAACACTTACAAACTGGATGCTATCATCAGTAACAAATGAATAACGCGACTATGGAAACAAAACACGATGGTCACCAAAAATATTTTGCCTGTTTTACGATATTAATGTAACTTTTGAACTCTGGGGCAAAACTGAGTCTTTCAATTTTTATCATTATACATTAATAAATGAACATTTTAAATATACGGAAACCTTCAAGAATACTGTAACTATTAATAATATATTATTGAAATTTATCTTTTTCATTGCATATCATTTACGCCGATTAGATAACGATTTCTGTGAAATGTCCGATTATTGGTTCAGTTATGCTCCTCACTGTATATTGTAAAGTGCTGACTGTGAATATGGAATAAAATATTGAGAAAATGTAAATACAAAAGAAATGTTTACATTTTTTGTAGTTGCTTCGTAACGGTTTGTTAGTCGGTATATTCTTAGAGTACTGTTCTGTTTCGTTGTACGAGCCTAATCTAACGCTAACGTAAGTAATTCCGATTTCAAATGGAAATTGAGTTTGGATTAGGTTAGGTTATCTTGAAAATATGTGTCAAGATTAAGATCATAGAGAATAAATTGCTTTTCCTAAGAATATTATTTTTATAATACTTCAAAATCGCATATCTCAAGAACCAAAAGAATGTACCCTTTAAAATATACATATGTATGTCAAAAGAAAAATGATCCGTGCCTTATCACCTTTTAACTTACTCTTTTTATTAAAGAGAACCGAGGGGCGCTTACTTTACCGCTCACAGCATCAGAACGAACTGGAATTTTTATTTGAAATTTTTGGAACATATTCCTGAATAGTTTTACTAATAATTTATAGAATAAAAAAAATTTCGATTTTTTGAGCCATCTAAACTGGTTTCCCCCCTTAAAAGGTCAGCAGCAATCCTTGCACTCGGTGCTTCACCACTTGTGATATACCGAACAATCCTTCGTTCATCCTGACTTGTTAATACTTTCGGACGTCCACCAAGTGCAGCTAAAAAGTCTTTAGAATGCTTTTTCCGGATACGTTGAACAGTTGATTGGCTTACAAAACATTTTTCAGAAATCTGACGGGTGGATAAACCATTTAGTAGAAGAGAAATGATTTTACTGGCAATAATATGAGGAAGTGGCTTCATTCTAGAATACTGCTAGTTTCTTTCTTTTCAACTTGATGAACACTTACAAACTGGATGCTATCGTCAGTAACAAATGAATAACGCGACTATGGAAATAAAACACGATGGTCACCTAAAAATATTTTGCCTGTTTTACGATATTAATGTAACTTTTGAACTCTGGGGCAAAACTGAGTCTTTCAATTTTTATCATTATACATTAATAAATAAACATTTTAAATATACGGAAACCTTCAAGAATACTGTAACTATTAATAATATATTATTGAAATTTATCTTTTTCATTGCATATCATTTACGCCGATTAGATAACGATTTCTGTGAAATGTCCGATTATTGGTTCAGTTATGCTTCTCACTGTAAGTTTGTTTATTCGGCGATTTTCTCGAACAATTTATCCGGCACAAATAATTCATAGCAGGTTTCTATCGCTATATCTGACCTTACATGCAAATTTTCACTTACAAACCCAGAAGGATGTGTAAAAGGAACAATGTTTGGCAGATTACCCCTCGGATCATGCCATTCTCCAACATTCTCCTCCTCTTCCTCAGATGATAAAAATACATCCACTCTATGCCGTTTTTTAGCAAAAATAATTTCACTGCTATCGCTTTCACACTTTTCGACTGACATTTTTACGTTGAAGCTGGATCCCCGTAAGGGGGGTCCACTGTTCGCAATGCCGCGACAACCCACTCGGCGCAGCCGGCGGTTAGAGGCGCTAGAGGCGCTATAGACAGATAGTGACCGAGATATACTCTATTCAACGAGACGAGTCTCCAAGTATAAACACGAGCACGTGAACAGGGCAGGGCCGACTTACGGATTCCAGATCCCCATATCGCATCGTAGGATAAGCTTTTTTTTTTAAATTAAAATTCTTTGACTATGGTATGGAGTTACTTGTTATATAAATATACCTAAATAACAGGATGAATGAAAGTACAAGAGAAGTTCCGTGTAATTATTATTTCTTTATTCTATGTTGCTCTCACAACTGGTATTTGATACTGAACTATCGTCGGAATCATTTAAATTTATAATAAATGGTTCTATTGCTGATTCAATTATACCATCTAATTGCCAAAATTTTTCTTCAAAATCGGTTATCACGTGATCAATACATTTTTTCCAATTTTCTGGAGTAACTACATTTATTGCTTCCGTAAATAAACGTACCATATCGCAAAATTTAAAGGTACTGTTTCTCGCTGCAACATAATTTTTCACCTGAGCGCATATCATTTCTATGGGGTTTAATTCGCAGTGATATGGCGAAAGTCTTAAAATTGTTACATTTTTTCTTTTCGCTATTTCATTTACTGCATAAACGTTTGTTACTTGTTGTTGTTTTACAATATGTAATAATTCAATTTTTACCATATCGCCTGCGAACATTATACCTCTTGCCCGTAGCCATTGTTGGATGTTGGTCTTTTTCCACTCGCTGGTCGGGATTTTGTCGGTTTTGCGGCTGTGATACGGAGCGTTGTCCATAACGATCACTGAATTTTCTTCTAATTTATCAATTATTTTGAAAGACCAATCTTCAAATTTTGCCGCATTCCTTTCCTCATGGTAATTAACAGTTTTTTTGGACTCGAAAGTCCATAACGCACCATCCACAAAACCATTTACACTCCCGATATGGGTAATTATTAGGCGTTTTCCCTTGCCGGACGGATTTTTTAAACCGGTTGGTAGACCGCTGGAATGTGCAGCTCGAGCTGATGTTATGCTTGTATCTTTCCATACGAAATTTTTTGCATGCCCTGCATTAATCCATGTTTCGTCTAAATAATATATTTGACGATTAGCCTCTCTGAATTGTTTCAGTTTACGTAAATAACTTCTTCTCCATACAACAATGTCTTCTCTGTCGTTTAAAAAACTATCGCGACCTCGCCGAGTAAACTTAAAGTTTATGCTTTTTAATAACTTATAAAATGTAGTTCTTTTGAAGTTAGGTAAAGTCGGATCCGCATTTACAACCTCTAGCACCTTTTCAATTGTTGGTAGTTCATTCCGATGAAAAAATTGGTGAACTATTCGTCTTATGACATTCTTATCGAAATCGTCTACTTTTTCAACAATTTGTTGGCGAATTTTTGTTCTCTTTGGAGACGATATTTCTCCTGACATGCCCTCTTTCCGTATTCGAAAGACTAACCTAACAATATTACAAAATTAAACAATGTTTTTGTTGAAATACATATTTGTAAAATATGTATTAAAATATATGTGTAATTTTTACCTCTTCGAAACTCCTGCAGTACGAGCAGTTATTTGTACTATATCAGTAACACTTTTTCCTGGATTTTTTAACAGTTCTGCTTTATAAATATGTAATATAATGTTCTTTTCGCTTGCACTAATATATGTTTTTCTTGCACGCTTCCTGACAGGTGACATGCCAACGTTTTCTTCGTCCGAATTTGAGAACGACGACATGACAAAAAATGTTATACACTCAACGGAGGAAAGAAAGCACACTTTCACTTCGAAGGCTCGCAAAAATCGAACTATTTTTAGCCTGTTTCCAACTTACTTACCACTGAAAAGTACCTGAAGTCATAAAATACACATTTGGAAATCATTAAGGTTTCTGCCTGCAAGACCCCTCGGCAAGGGACCACCATAACTTGGCCCTGAGTTGTAACATGTGACAGCCAATGACCATAGTCGCAGAGCCGATCACGTGAAAAGCGAGGGAGCTGTTTGTTTTTACTTAGTGACTCGTCTCGTTGAACGGACTGTAGGCCCTATCCGGCACATCAAGATTTACGCCCTTTCAAGTTTGAAGTTTTTTGATGTTTGGGCTCACCCATCATCCGTATATTTACACTCTGTAATTCTTGTAATGTCAGTATCGTGTTTTCGCGACTCGTCGTCGGACAAATGAGATTCACCTTCCATAAACCTGGCAAACCTAAAAGCACGCATGTTACGTTACGCGATGCACCCTTGTTTCAAGCAACTTTTGTTAAAACATTTTTTTCCTAACATCACTTCCTTAAAAAATATTTAGGTGTATTGAGATAAAACAGACACCCTGTATATTCCCATATTTGATTTTCTCCCTTTAATTGCCTTATCTCCTTCTCTACATTTTCTTGTAATTCCCTTCTCCGTTCTTCGCACGCTTTTTTGTACTCCCTTCTTTTCTTCTGGTAGTGTTTGTCTCCTTCTTTGTCTCCTTTTCCCCTTCTCCAGTTCCTCAGTGCTTTCCTAGCTTCCCTTTTCTTTTTGTACAATTCGAATTCCACCACTTAAAGCTGCCCAATTTCCATTTCTTGATTTTTACTTCTGTTACGTCCGGGATTCCGGTTAAGGAATGCAACGAAATTGCTATCGCTATTTCGGCCGGACGTCACAGAGAACAATCTTTACCTTCCACACAGCACGGTTCGTCTGTGTCTGATGGCAGGACTGCGACGATGGTCTGGGCGCGTAGAATCCGCTTACGACCGTTCCTGATCCAGAGGGATCAGCTTCTGAACGATGCCGTTCTGCTGGAGTCCCTGATCCAAGGCAGGAGTCGGTTCAACTCCGAGAGGCCAGCGTCCTTGGGATGCGGGTCGATGGTATTCGCGCACCAACTTACGTAGCTGATATTTGTAACCGGCGCGTCGCGTACGCGGCATTAACTCTCGGATGCGTTTTCGTATAATCACTTAGACCGCGCAGCTAAGTCAGCGCCTCCGCCTAAGTTCTTACACAGGATGCTCTCTCGACAATGTCCGCCGTGCAGCTAAGTCAGCACCGCCGCAACTTATTGTGAGTAAAGTATCGTAAGGCACTAGAGTTACGGATAAGGATATCGAATAAAGGATACTGAGTGTTCAGATATGTGTGTGTGTGTGTGCGCGCGCGTGTGTATGATATCTAACTGATTGATAAACCTAGCAATAACTTCCAAAATATGCGTTGCACGAAAGAATGTTATATACAAAAGTTACATGGTTTAAAAGGGTACACTATGTAGTGCGTTAATTTTTTTTATAGGTGGAGGCGTTTCGGAGATTTGAAAGTCAACTTTATTTTTTTAAACAGAATACTATATTTTTTATACGAAAATATGGTAGAGTATCGAATTGTAAGTAAAAAGGTATTGACCGTTATTAGCCCTAAACCTAATAGCTAACGAGTAATTTCACTTTATTACTTGAAAATTTTCTTCACGTAATATCAAGTTGGAGATTCAACCTTATACATATCACAGATTTCCGCAGGACAGCGATGTTTACGTGACAGTGTTTATCAACAAAACGACATCTATCATGATTCGCAATCTTCTACATGTTCGTAATCCAGTATTGAAGTTACCTTCGGTGTTTGTGTGTAATTACCAGGCAGATAAAAGTAAAGTAAAGTAAAGACGTTTTGCAGAACTGCAAACGACTGTTTTCTCTTTATTTTGCATGTTTCGCCACGTAAAACGTGTTTTATCGAAGGTAAACTGAAATACTGCTGTTTTCTCGCGGTCAAGACATTTTGCAGTACTGCAAACGACTGCTTTCACTTTATTTCGCATGTTTCGCCACGTAAAACGAGTTTTATCAAAATTAAACAGAAATACTGCTGTTTTCTCGCGACAAAGACGTTTTGCAGTACTGCAAACGACTGTTTTCTCTGACGATCTTTTTGATTCAGGCGTGTAGTGGTGGATCCATGTTTCATCCATTGTCACATACCGACGCAAGAAATCCTTTTTATTTCGCTTGAACAGCTCCAAACAGCGCTCTGAATCGTCGACGCGTTGTTGTTTCTGGTCCGGTGTGAGCAAACGCGGCACCCACTTCGAAAGCAACTTGCGCATGCCCAAATTTTCATGTAAAATTGTAAAGACACTACCTTCTGATATCTTCAAGGTGTCAGCTATCTCACGCAACTTCATTTTACGGTCTTTTAAAACTATTTTGTGGACATTTTTTATGTTTTCCGGAACAACTGCCGATTTTGGGCGACCAGAGCGTTCAGCATCATCGGTGCTTGTACGACCGCGTTTAAATTCAGCATATCAGTCAATAATAGTTGATTTCCCTGGTGCAGAGTTCCCATAATGCTTATCAAGCCACTGTTTGGCTCCAACAGTATTTTTCCCTATCAAAAAACAGTGTTTAATCAACACACGAAATTCCTTTCTATCCATTGTCTTGAAAATTACAAAACTGGGGTCACTAAAACGACTGTAACCTCTAAACTAACGGTCAGAATGCCATGAAATTTTGACACGTACTGTTTGAAGGTTACTACTACCCGGAAATCACGTGGGTCTGTCAACATTGTTGCCATATATGTGTCAGACCGGGGACTTATTAAGTGATGTGTTATTTTTATATTCATGCAGTGCATAACTAATGGGACACTAAAAAAGCCTCTATTGAAAATTACAGCAGCAATATTAGCAGCAATCTTCACAGTTGTAGTGCCACTAAATAAATTTTTAGGAGCTAAACACCAAATGGTATTGTTGAAGCTGTCGTTCTGGTTTTGGGTGAATCCGCCCACACAGCGCTCTAATAACTGGTCACTGCTCAATTCTTCGTAAATAGGCGTAATAGCCTTTAGCACATCTGCATGCAATGCCGGTTTATAATTATAATTTAGCAGATTATTGTTGACCTTCGCCACTTGATAACTGCACCAACTTTCCGGGCTTGGTGGACAATCCTCGTGCTGCGGATTCTCGTTTGTTGAAGATTTGTGTTTTAGTGTAGTCCAAATCTCTTTCTTCGTGTCTTCTTTTGAATTTTTATTTCGTCTTATGGCTAAGCCGTAGTAAACGCTTAGTTCGTCGATCAATTTTGCTGTAGGTTTTCCCTTTCTTCCGAGTCCTTTTGTTTCTTTCTTTACTTTTCGGAGCCGTGCACCCGTTCGTTTTTGCACGTGCCCTACACACTCCTTTTTTATTATGTCAATATTACCGTACGGACACGAGTCAACGATAGCTTTGTAAGTCTTGCTATCGCCATCTCCAATATAAAATAAATATTTTGTCTGGTGCAATGTTTCGGAGCGTGCAAATTTCTCTACTGCTCCATCCACTTCCATTTTGCCCGAGCTTCCTTAATGATTTATTGACCAGTCATTGCGATGTGATTCCATCCGTTCATCTTATTCAGGTGCACTCTGTTTGGATTTTCAGAATGTGCACGTTTTGCAGTACAATGATTTCACATTCAGGTCCAGTACTTTCCCTGAATAGTATCCAAGGAGGGTAACGACTCCTTGTCAAGAGGAGAAACCACGTTTTCTCCATGTTCCGTCTCCCGAAACAATTAATCCTGGTGGTTCTGATATATTTTGTGCTTCTGCTGTTCGACATTTTTCCTCAGTAGCCGCTTCGGACAATAATATAGAGCACACTTTCTCTGATCCGGTATGTAAATTTTTTATAATATCATTATAAACTGTCTTACTGGATATTTCCGTATGCCATTGTATCCGATGCCAAGTAACCTCATAGATACAACAATACGTCGATTTATTTCGTA